AGAACAACCATCAATTTTACTTGCTAGTTTAGAACAATATCAAGGAACAGTTTCTCCATCAGCAACATTTAATGCCGAAGCTGACTGTCATGCACTTAGTCAGGCTATGAAAGGAGCAGGTAAATCATATATTTACATATTTTAATACAATTATTTCTTTTTTCAAGGTACAAACGAACGTGCTCTCATCGATATTATTGCCAATCGCTCAAATGCACAACGTCAACAAATAAAACTTCAATATAAAACAATGTTTGGTGTCGTATGTATATTTATTGAATTGCTTCAATAAAGATATTAATCCTTTATCAATTTAGGATTTAGTCAAACAAATTGGTGGTGAATTAAGTGGTCATTTTAAAGAAACTATGACTGCTCTATTTGATGCACCTGCAAGTTATGAAGCATGGTCATTACATCAAGCTCTTAGCGTTAGAGTTTAGTTTACATAAATAATTGATATTTGAAATTTTATCTTTTATAGAATGGAAAAGAAGGAACTTTACGCGAAATTTTGCTTACAAGAGCTAATGCTGAAATTCGTGCCATTGTTGATGCATACAAACGAAGTAAAAAAAAAAAGATATTAATTTACTAGTTAATTAATTCAATATTTGAAATTTGATAGTGTATAACAAAGATCTCGAACATGAAATTAGTCATCGTGTACGGGGAAAGGACTTTAAACGTATGCTTGTTTCTGCTGTACAGGTAAAAATATTTCTATCTACTGATTTATTAGATTTATCTGTCTGTTTTTTAAGGCTAATCGTGAAGAATTAAGTCCACAACAAATTCAACAAGCTCGTCAAAGTGGTATTGAAAGTGTGATTGATCGGTAAAAAAATTAACATTTCCTTCTTTTCGAATATCGATTTTTTTTAATATTTCTCTAGTAATCGTGCTCGTCAAGATGCCGCTGATTTATATAAAGCTGGTGCTGGTAAAATGGGTACAGATGAAAAAACATTCAATGCAATATTTGCTCGACGTAGTTATTATCAACTTCGTGCTACATTTGAAGAATATCAAAGAGTAAATTATTTCCAAAAAAAAAAAAAACAAGAAATAATTTTTCAAATTTTTTGATTTAGAAACATGGAAAAGATATTGCACAAGTAGTACGATCAGAATTTTCTGGTGATGCTGAAGATGCTTATCTTGTTTTAATAACATGTATACGTGATCGACCATCATTTTTTGCTGAACGTTTACATAAAGCAATTACTGGTTTAGGTACAAGAGATTCAACACTTATTCGTGTTATTGTTTCACGTTCAGAAGTAAATTTCATACAGAAAAAAAAAAATTTTAATTTAAAATTTTTTTTTTTTGCTTATTAGATTGATCTTGCACAAATTAAGCAACGATATCAACAAATGTATCATCGTTCATTAGCTCAAGATGTCGGAGGTGATACATCAGGAGATTATAAACGAATCCTTTTAGCAATTGTGAAATGAAATCTATAATGAATGAAAAAGAATGAACTTTTATCGAATGATTTTATTCAGTGCATGCATATTTTAATAAATTTATTTCTCATTTTAAGGAGTTGTAACACCTGCAAGTAATTGTTGTGCCAGTAATGCATGATTATTATTATTTAGAAGAGCTTGAAATGTTGCTTGATCCAATGTTCCTACATATTAATCATAGATAAATTCTAAATCAAAAATTTTCTCCTAACCTGTAACTGGAACACCTAATAGTCCTTGAAGAGTAGTCCAAGCTTGTGTAGCTCCTACTCGATAACACAATGTTTGAAAGACACTGGTAAGTACTGATTGAGGCCACCATTGATTGAAAAATTGTTGAGCTTGATAGCATTGACTGTTACTGGAACTGATAATTTAACAACATTATTTAATAAAATAGTTCCGACAACTTACCCGCCATGTCCATGATGCCCATGCCCATGTCCATGACCATGCCCATGCCCATGCCCATGTCTACCAGCACTGACGAATTGCATGGTAACCAAACTCAATAGTAGAAAAACAAAAAGAATGTTCCACCGATTAATATGCATCTTGTTTTTTAAAACAGTTGTGTATTGTTTAGAAGAAAAGTAGAGTGTATATATATATATATATATGACTTTGTATTTCAATTATAAATCAATGTACTTTGAAGCCGTCAGGTAAGCTTAATGAAAATAAAAGTTTAGTGTGTCATCACTACCCACGTAATGAACTAAAGCGAATAGTTCTAATCACATTCTTAGTCTTTTATTTTCAATATATATCTGTGAAAATGTAACTCATGTTTTAGATAATGAATGTACTTTTTCGTATAATTTATTCTGAATAGTATCGAAAAAAATCAGTTAATAGTATTTTAAGATGATATAATACTGTATGTCAATAATTGATAAACTTGCGTAGCATACTGCTTGTTTTTTGAAACATGAATCAAATTATCATCAATATAATTGTCTATTTCAAAGTAGTGTACGCGTATAAGAAAGTTGAATAGCTTGATATCACGAGCAGCTATATGATTTGTGACTTTCACCATTGCATGCAGTACTTTGGTGAAGAGCAGCCATCAATTTTAAGATCTAAGTTTGAAAGTGAGTCTCGATGTTTTATTAGCTGAATCTCTAAAAATCTATTATGCCGATTGAGAAATATTCAGATTATTTTTCATTTTTTCGTTCTTGCTTTTAAACCGTAGATGTTAAATATAGAGGCTCTTGAAAGCATGCTTCTTTTTTGTCCGATTGAGCTCAGATTTATATGAAAAGAAGAGGATCTTGAGTACGATGAACACTGTTAAGATGTTTTCTTGTACACTCAATTTTTTGCGGAGCGCATCCTACTCTATAAATACGACCAGATCAAATAGACAACAAGTTTTTAGAAATCTATTAGATCATCCACTGAGATGAAGTAGATTTGAATTGATACTGAAGTTTTGAGCTAGTTCTGTTCAGAATTAACTGTTCCAGATCTATTCCATAAGCAGATTTTAAAGCACTGAAATACTTACGTTTTGGCTGAATACCATCGATGAATTGGATGTGAATTAGAAACAATTGTTTGTTCAAGTTCTAAATAAAGTCTTTTTTTTTATATTCGACTTCAGTTTTCATGCCTTCTATGCATTCATGTTGACTTTGGTAGTTTTGGTAATGAAACTATGAATCATTTTTTATCTAATGAATTTGCTAGTGTTCTTATTGTCAATAAGCAAATCGTTTTTCTCTTTTTTTTTCGAGCTTCATATTCTACTTCTTCTAATTCAACTTATTTGGAATTATTTTCTTATTTATAAAAAAATAATAAGAAAGAGAAATCATACTTCTTGCAATTAATTGCTGTTATCAACTTTCAATAACTATTTGAAGAAGTTTAGTACGTTGTTTTTTTTTCAGCAGCTACTTTTTGCGAAATACAATCAAATATAATTTGTTGTTTTCGTTCATCTAGTTTAGATTGTTCTAAATAACAACGATGACATTGATTTTCATCAGAAAATTCCAACTAATATCTTTAACATTCTCCAAATAAAATAAAAGAAGATTTTAACTTCTCGTTGGTTTTTTTTCTATTTCATCAATTTTCACCTAAATAACAAATAAATCATCATTCAACTTTCTGATAAGTGTAACAAATATTTCCATTGTATATTTAATCCATAACGATCCACAACTATGGATAGCATTTCTCAAAATTTGTACTATTCACGTTATAAAACGATGATCACTTCTGTTCTGAGATATCTATTTTTCTCATTTTACATAACAAATGTAACGATAAAAATAAACATCACTGAAATAATTGTCAAAATAACTGTCCAATGGTTTAAACAAAAAAAAGGTCGATGTGATAAAACTATTGCAAAAACTGAGTATCTTAGTTATTTTTTTCTTTTGAAACGTCATTCGATATCATGTCGCACTTGAGTATTAAAAGCTTTCATTGAAGACAATGTATGAAATCGTACTTTAATCAATTCAATTTTTGTTTCTTAATATAGTTTTTACATATTACTTCAAGTTTCTGATTTTGTACTATAGTGAAATCTCTATTAATGAGCATCTCCCGCAGTCCCGATTGCTCTTTGAATCTCTTTTAAATGAATACACATGCACTTTTTTCTCTCTCGTCTTCATCATTTCCGACTAATGTACTAAAACTACTGTGCATATCAGGTAAAGCAATGACATAACAACATCATCTTATGTTAAATGAAAAAAAACTCAATAAATTAATGATAACAACAACGGTGGTAAAAGTAAATCACAACGTGAATTAGTGGAAAAATCGAATATTTCACTTGGTTTTGTATTCACGGTTGTGAGACGGTAAAAAAGTATATTTAAATGATTATCAAACAAACAAAAATTCAAAAGTTTTGATGTAATACAATATAATGAATATATATTTGAATGAATTGTACAGCAACATTCATCAAATTCACATTTATCAAGACCAACTAGTTGGTTTTGTAGTCATCCTATATTTCCTATAATCAATATCATGTCTGAGGTCTATATCACGAGGTGCAGATAGTAGTGACTCTACACATATGAACTGCTTCATTTTTGTCGAAATAATGAATAAGTTGTGATGCAATTGATTGTTTTCCTTTTTAAAATTTTTCGTCCCTAATGGACGCACAGCAGAAGGCAAACAACAACAAAAAACTCAATGTTTGTGATAAAACGCTTTTTAACTAAAAAAGATTTTATCATTTGACTATATAATCTGCTCTCTCTTCCCACAGCCGTGATAGGCATATCGTCAAGAACATTCACCTTTTATAGACTATGACAAGTATACTCGTGAGATTAATCTAATGCAGCTTTAAGATAGCTGTTCTTTATGCTTCTTTCTTACTGAATGAAATATATTGTGATTAATATCTTTTTTTTCATCGACAGCCACAGATGAACACTTTTCAAAAGTCCCGGTAGCGTTTATTGAAGAGATATTTTACTATATAAAATTTTTGTGCAGGCAATATGACTTATCAAGTTGAATAAAAGAGAAAACAAACACTTGAAAAATTTATATTTATCAAATGGAAAGGTGGTTTGTGACTCTCATTGAATACATAAAAAAGGATAAAGGCAACTTGTAATCGCAGATGCATAAATACCATTTTGAAGACACTTTCCATGCAAGAGACTTTATCAATCATGAATTATTATTAAAAATTAAATTTGATTCGTTTTGTAGCAATATTTTTCACAATGAATATATTTGATTTTCAATACCATTTGACATGATCAATTCTTTTTAACGACATCTATAATTCTATTATTAATTGCTGTCAGGGTAACAAGTTTTACATTATTTTGATAAGCGAATGTTAACTAAAATCTCACATTTCATTTCTTCAATAAAACAACATGTTGTTTGGTAAGATTTCTTTTTTGTTTTGCTATGATATTCTTTTTGCTATTTTGATTTATTATTCTTTGCATGATTTGCTTTACTTGCTATATACTCAGACGACGAATCAGCTCAATCGAATGTTGCTTTTGGCACAACATTTCTCAATCGTCCTACATTTCCTAGTGATATAGCGCATGATTATTTTGGAAATAGTCAGACGCCATTACGAGGCGTATCAAATCTGTAAATTTTTTATTTATTTTTATTTTTCTTCTGGCTAACTAATTACTTGCTTTTATATGCTCTTCTTTTGCTTTATTTTTGTTTTAATATCAATATAGTGGACCAAGTTCATATAATAATGAGGAAAAGACATCATTTCGATATGTTCTTGAACATCAACCGATGAGTCGTCGTGGTTATATTGTCAATGCACGTACAGAAAAACGAGAAGTTTTTGTACCGAAGGTGATCTCAAATAAAAGAGTTGCTTGATTTGTTTTTGTTTTTGCGAATTTTCAAATAAAGCAAAAAATAGTTTATATTTTATTTTGCCTATTTAAAATAGACTGATGTACCAAGCCCAGAAACTTATCAAATGGATTTAAATATAATACCAGAAAAGAAAAGAGCATTTAAACCATTTAATGCTGCTTCTGATAGATTTCCAATAGTTGCTAGAAGTACTGATATTCCTGGGTAATTAATTTAATTAATAGTTTTTTTTTCTTAAAATATTTCTTTTTTTTTTTTTTATTAATTCAAGACCCGGTAGTTATGAATGTGATGTTAAACAGAATCGTCAAGTACATATGCTTCATAGTTTTGGTGGTCGAACAAAATTAATACCAGCTATTAAAACGAAATGTATGCCATTAAATAAGGATAAGGTTTGAGATTCGATTTTTGTAGAGTTTTTAATAGACTTAAATTTGATTATTTATAGTGTGTAATTTGTCTTAAACAACCTGTTGGAGATTATTATCAATATCGAAATGAAATATTATGTGCTAATTGTTTTAATTTTAATTGGCTATGGCAAGAAAAATTTAAAAGAACGTAAGTTAAATTAAAATAATAATCTCAAATTTTCAAATGATACGAAAAGAATAAATTCAAATCATATTAAATACTTACATAGTTATTTTAGAAGTGAAAGAGAAATGAAAATAGTACTATATAATCATTAATGCTAATATTCAAGTTATTCAATGAAACATTTGTGAATAATTAATAGTAATAAGGTGAATTATCTCAAAGATAATACACTTCATTTCTATATTCTTTTTATATATAAAAATCAATTTTCTGCACCTATTTCTTAAAGTACTAAATTAAATTTCTATGAAACTGTTCTCATAGTCATTTCATTTGTATTACCCAGAAATAGGAACTTATCATCTTATGGCGATTGTATATTCATAACACACCCGTCGAGTTTCTCACTAGTAAAAGTGAGTGTATGGTGTTATATGTGCTCAGTAATTAATTTGAGAAAACTCAATATTTAAGAGCGTGATTATTGATGTCAGCTTGCCTGGCAGCAGCATCCACACTAATACGAGAGCTGTCAACAGGTCACTTTTTTCGACCTAATCTGTAAGACAAACTAGGACGACTTATGTTTCTGCTCTTTTTTAAATCCACTATGTTCTAAAACCTTACTATAGTGTATCATTCTAGTTTCAGTTATAAACGTAATTTATTTTTATCAAGATAGTATAATGCCAAGTTCTTGGACAAAATAGTAATTTAAAACAAAGAAATAAATCATCAATAAATATCAGCACTATTTTACATAATCGGAAAAATGTAACTACGATACAGAAAGCTGTTAGCGTAATTCCTGTGGGATTAAAATATAAAACACGATCGATTTGTTATTATTAATCACGCGAGTATTGTTTTATTCAACCTATCTTCAGGTCCATTTTTTCATGATTTACTTAGCCCTCTGAAACTGTCATAAAGAAGTAGTTTATATATTCTAATGTGATACCAGTGATATATGATCAAATTTCTACCCTATATAATTCAACATTCCTTTTTGACCATGTTTCACAAAGGAGTGAGCATTAATGACTATGTGTGAAGAAATAATCCGCCTTCATACTCTCACAAAATCATGAGTTTTTGGTGCTATCTTATATTTCAAATTATACTAGGTTAAATAATATTACATCACACACATAGAGGCTTCATAAATAGGCTGTGAATAAATATTTATTATAAAACTGTAATAAAATTTTATTTTGTATAGATATCTTCAAGCCTTTCAAAAAGTTCGTGATTGTTCACATATGCATGAACATTCTGGTACTTCTGCTCGAATTCAAGTAATTGATTAATTCTTTGCATTCTATTCTCAAATTCTTTTTTTAATTTCAGCTTGTTGACGATCGAATAATGAAAAAACTTCAACGTAAAGAAGCTTATTTAAGTCTTTATTGGCCATGAACAATATTTTTTTTTTCATTTTAATAAAAATAAAATTTTGTCTTGCAATATTTTCTTTTACTTTTATGTTGTATGTGAGAGAATATTTTCAAAAAACAAAAATAGCAAAAGAAACAAAAAAAAAAACACTGAATATTTAAATTCATGCTACTAACACAAAAGAAAGCTATGTAAATAGAAGTAAACAATAAAATAAAAAACTCTTATGGTGATTCAGCATTTGCTAATGAGATAATATGTGCTATATTACTTTCGAGACCATCAATTTGTTGACCCATATCATCAACTAAGAAAAAAAAATTGTTTGGATTTTGTGAAAACATATATATATATATTATTTATACTTCTTTTCATAATTGAATCACTCATTTGTCCAAATTTTTCTTGAATTTGTATCATTGTATTTTGAATCTAACATGAAATCTATATGATATTACATAACAAAAAGAAGTAAAATATTACCAAATCCACAAGTTCTTGAACATTTCGAGGTTCATGTAGAGGAAAGTCTATATGTGTCGTGAAATTCGTCATGATCAATGAAAAAAAAACTCGTGTCTTAATGTTTCTTTTACTCAACTATTCATAGCAATAAAACAAACAGAATTGTATGTTTGGTGGCTATCCTGCAGCAATGCACATTAACAGAAGCTATTGCTATTGTTTATGAGTTTCTTTTTCTCTTAGAAATAAGAAGTAGTTAAAAGAATGGAATTTTTTTTTCTTTCGCTCTTTACTCTTAGGGCAAAACCTCGAAATTAACATCGACCATTAACAAGTAATTGAATACTGTCTATTGAGTTTAAAAAAAAAAAACTTGAATCGTATTCATGTACAAGGATAAAAGATACTAAAGGATATGAAGTCATATTGCATCTCAATCAAAAATAAGAGTCCAATGATGAGTTATCATTATTGATTAACTATTGGATATTTTGAATTTATACAGATTCGTATGACTCAGAATATGTCATGTGCTTGAGTACTAAGATACTTTCGTGATCTAGTATTTCCTTTTGATCTATATATCATTCTTACATAAATGAAAATTATCTTTTGTATAACATTTTCTATATGATTTATACTGACGAAATAAATATAAACTAATTTCATCATATCAAGAGAAATCGACATTGTTTTGTCATTGTATCTGAATGATGCAATTACCATATACTTAATGTCAATACTCCACATTTATTTCTCTTTCTACCAAGTCAAATTATCGCGTCATTAATACTATGTCTACTGCAGTAACAGTTAAAACAGCACTTTGTTTAATTCCACCTGAAAATGTTTGGGAACAAATTCAATCCATTCGATCAACATATGATAAAGCTTATCCACGTTGGATGCCACATATTAATTTAGTTTATCCATTTGTACATGAATCAGAATTTGCTAATATAAAAATTCAATTAGAATCAATTCTTAATCAACGAAAATCATTTGAAATTGAATTCGATAAAACATCATTTAATTATTTTAAACAAAAAGGTAATGAATGTACATTTCATATAAAACCAAAAATAAGTAAAGATGTCGTTGAATTACAACAAATAATAGAAAATTTCTTACCAAATTATTTAAAAAATACACGTCCATTTGAAGCTCATCTTACACTTGGTCAAACAACAACATCAAGAATATCAGATATGCTTATTGAAATAAAAGCTAAATGGAAACCAATTAAATTTATTATTGATCGTGTTTGTATGATTAGTCGTGAAAATAATCCTGATGATTTATTTACTATTGAAAATCAAGTTCTTTTAGTTGGTTTTGAAGAAAAAGATAATAATAATAATAATAATAATAATAATAATAATGAACAACTTGTTCCTATTGAAAAACCTTCGATAATAGAAATTCGTCCAAGTTTAATTACAAAAAATTATTTATGTATAATTCCACCAAATGAATTTTCTTCTCGTCTTTTACATTTATTTGAAGATACATCATTTCGTCCACTTAAACCATTTCAAATTATTGTTGCTGAATATGATCATGTACCAAATGAATCTGATCTACGTTTACAAATTGGATCAATACCAAAATTTACAATTGATTTTGGTGCACGATCAATTTGTTTTAATTATTCAACATCACGTCTTTTTCTTAAACCAACTAATATTGAATCTATTCAACAATTAAATTTAAATAAGAATAATAATAATTTTGATGGAACATTAACATTAGGAGAATTAGATAAAAATGATTTAACTGAAGTTGGAAATCGATTTACACAAAGTTGGACATTTACAACTAATGAATTTGACGTTGATCGAGTATATTTAATTGATTCCAATGGACGTTTTCAATATAATGTTCCATTGAAAAGTCAATGTTTTTCATAAGAAATTTCACGAAATAAAATCGCTTTTCTTTTTGTTCTTGAAATTATTTTATTGAATCATTTCTTGTTTGATCAAATTTAAATAAGAATTTTTTATATTTTTTTCGAATATCGAGTTAAAAATAAACTATTCCGA